TGACAAAGCAAAAGTGTGATGACTGTAAAAAACATCTCTGCGGGAAAGATTTCAAGGACTCACATAGAAACTGCAGCTGAAGCTGATCAGATATCAATAAAGACTTAACACTAAAATACTTATTCAAATGGGTTTTCTTGTTGTGCATAATACTACTACTACTACTAATAATAATAATAACAATAATAATAATGCCATACCATTTCTTTAACATCTGTGAGTGTGTGTGTGCAGCACAGGCTCTTATTATTGGAATGAGTTATATAGCTCAACCTTCACTACAATATACTGACAGGTTACAGTGGCTTCATTCAGACCCTGTCCCTTTATGTTGACTTTATTGTATTGTATTGCCACCGGTCTACAGTCATTAAAACATTATGACAAAGTGAAAACATGATTTTACAAATGTATTTAGAAACATGCTTCACTGTAGGGCTGCTATTACCCAGGTGATGAGCAGGACCTGGTGCCCACCAGATGGTGTTTGGAGTTCTGCTGAGTTTTTAGTTTTAGTTTTTTTTTTCCCTTTACTCAAAGTAGTTAAGTAGACTTTATTTATGAAGCATGGTTTGAAACCAGGGTTACAAGGTGCTGTAAAGCGGAAACATTAAAGAAAAATTTTTTAACAGCTTCTTAAAACTGTCAACTGAGCCAGTGTTTCTTATACCTAAGGGAGGTGGTTCCAGAGGGAGGGGGCCACAGGGGAGGGGCCACAACTGCAAAGGCACAGTCATCTTTGCTCTTACAGATCTCAGGTCAACTAGAAGGTGCTGGTAAATGGAACTCTGTGACCTCAGTCAGTGGACACATTGTTCAGAAACTGTGGGACCTGATACACACAGGTGTGTGTCTTTCTGAAATCTGTCCAATCAGCTCAGTTCACCACAGGTGGACTCCAGTCCAGGTCTAGACTCGTGATAATTAAATAAACAGGAAGCAGCTGGTCAAAGTTTGGAGCCGCAACATGTTTTCACTTTGTCATTATGGATTATTAAGTCTAGATTAATGGCTTCAAATGTCAAAATCAAACCTAAAACACAATAAAGTTTGCAAGAAGTAAAGGGTTGTGGATACTTTCTGATGCCTTATAAGGATAACCAAAACTCAATGTTTGTGGCATTTAACTTTTTGCTCTTTTGCGTGTGTGCGTGCGTGCGTGTGTGTGTTTGTTTGAGTCTTTTATTTGTTTCAACATCATAATGAGATAATCTACAGAATTTTGTCCACCTTATTCAAGACTTGTGTGCGTTTAAAACAGGTTTTGAATTTATTCCTGATTGGGAACTCGTACAGTGCTTAAATAAAACACACATCTTGTCTGAGGCTTGTACATGTTGCCCCTACAAACTGCATCCTCTCCTTTGCACTCATAACGTTGTGCAGTGTCAGTGTTCACACCTGTAGTTATGTTTTCCTGCTCCTTCCTCTGAACCCTGTCTCATCAGCATCACTGGGCTGACTCAGTTCTGAGGCTGCAGAAGAAGAACAGGAACAACACTTTTTTAGAGATGACTAATCAGACATTGTATGTTCTTACTTTGGCACATGGTAAATAAATGTATAAAAAAGTATAACTACTGGTGTGTTTTATGTTGCACAAGTGTGAATATTGCCAACCTCTACTGAGAATTGCCTCTCTACTTTTTGCAGATGATGTGGTTCTCTTGACTTCATCAGACCACGATCTATAGTATATACTGGGGTGGTTGGCAGCTGAGATGAGAGCCAGCATCTCCAAATCAGAGATCTGTTATGGAAGATGAAGGATTGCTCTATTCATGTTGGGAGTGAGTGCTGTTAAGGAGTTCAGGTATCTTGGAGTCTTGTTCACAGTGAGGGTAAGATGGAGCAGGAGATTGACTGGTGGATCAGGGCAGCGTCAGCAGTAATAGGGGGTTTTACTGGACCGTTCTGGTGAAGAGGGAGCTGAGGTGGAAGACAAAGCTACATTCTGGTCCTCACCCATGGTCCTAAGCTCTGGGTAGCGACAGAAGGAATGAGATTGTTGATACAAATGGAAATTTTAAAAACTAAAACATTTTGGAACACATAACAACAAGTCAACAAAAAAAGAAAATTTGTACAACATCATTGTACAACAAGTTAAGACCAGGATATTATTTCATTCCACCTTAACTGTTTGGCTGCTTACTTTACATCAGTGGTCGGCAAATGGTGGCCCAAGGACCAAAATTGGCCCACCAGCAATAATATCTGGCCCGTCAGATTATTCTGATAATCAGATATACTAAATTTTACTACATCAGACTGTCACATATTTAGCTATAATGTCCAAATAGAGAATCTACCCTCACATGAAGAATGCTTGTTATTCTTTTATCTATGTTTAGAGTGAATGACAGACACAAACATTCAATAATCAGGCTGCAGGCTGCTCAGTGCAAAGCACCCGGTGCTAAAATAGATCTCTGTCATGGCAAGAGTTACCCACAGAATCACTTCCTCTTTAACGATTCTGCCAACAGAATAAAAGCGTGAGAAGGTTCGTTTTTAGCAGCAATGCCTCATTTCAAAGTAATTGAGAAATCTTATTCTCAAAAGTTCTGACCGAAGTTCAAAAGATTCTGCTGCTCATTTGACAGACCTCTGAAAGGGACGTGATGTGTGGTATTAAAAAAATAACACCAGTTCAGGTAATCATTTACTGACACGTGAACAGTAACAAAGCAAACTGCAGTTGCATTTTTATGAATCAATTTCTTTAATTAACCTTCAAGTATATTCTTGTCCACCATCTAATGGGTTAGAAAAAAATTGGCCCAAGGCCAAACTTACCTGCTGAACCCTAAACTGTGATAAAGACACAGACGGAGGCTGATGAATGGTCTTGGATCAGATTTGACTTTAGACAGTGTTAAGCCACATTTTCTAGATGTTGTTCTTTTTGATATATTTAAAGTCCCTGATTGAGAAATGTGGATTAGGTCTAATGCCCCGCCCACACCTGCTGTCTCCAGGTGGACAGGTGAAAGAGCAGAGAGTATCAAGATGGTTAGAGGAGGAAACATCAGAGAGACTCAGCCACATGTTTGAGCCTCAGTCAGACCCAGACCCAGAGGCATCATTATTTGTTTATGTTGTAGCTTGTAACTGGCAGTGGCTGACACGGTGTTAGTGGTTGTGCAAATGCAAACTCTGTCTCTGTACTGACAAGGTTTCAGGTTTATTTAGCCCCGCCCCCTGTCCCCACAAGTTGACAGGATTGGTTCCTTAGATTTGTGACATATGAAACCCTGGCTGTCTGAATCTGTTTTTATGAGACTGCCATTGGCTCATTTCAGTTCAAGGTGGGAATACTGATTATGTCACTCATCATATGTCTTGTATTATATAAAAACATAGATAGATGGATAGATACTTTATTTATCCCCTAGGGGAAATTCAGGATCAACATCTTAACAAGGTTAAACACTTGATTTTCATCACAGGGGTCTTTAAAGGTGCTATATGTACGTTATGCTATTGCTACAAAACTAACGTTAGCATTAACAGCTGTTCACGTACTGGTCTAGAAGAAACATTGTGAGTTCAGCATCTAACTTCATTTCTTTACTCACCAACAGCTGTCTCCAGAGGTGGAGAAAAACACCAATGTTAACTCCTGTGTCTATCACATATTTTCTTCTGAAGAAGTTAGCATGCTAACCAGCTAGCCTTGGCCCTTCTTGTCACTCTCCAATAGGGACCCATTGTAACCTCCAGTGTGCCCTGAATACTTAGCACTGTGGGTGGCTGGCAAGGATGGCCCCAAGCTCTGGTCAAGAGACAATCACCACCACCTGCTCCCACCTGCACCTGCTCCGCCATGCAACAACAGTGAATCAGAAAATTTTACGTGTCAAACTGTTTTGTTCACCTGGTCTGTTTGTTGTGGAGAGGAGGAAACCTCTGTGGATAATTCAGCTCCAGGTAAAAACCTCCTGAACCACTGACACTGAAGGAATCCAAACCAAGAGAAGCTGAAGACTACAACTGCCATGATCCCACGCTACTTCATGATGTCACCAAACTCCTTACTTACTACTTAATTACTATTGTGATTGAGAGACCCCTAGTGGCAGAAAATTACAAAGTGTGTTGAATAAAAGATAAGATTTTCGCATCCTGGAGGATTAAAATCAGTTTGTTTCCCTCATAGACTGAAAATAATGACGGACATATCCTCTGTGACGTCACCCACAGGTTTGAGAGTGAGCTGCTCTACCGTCACCATCTTTGCAGGGTCTGACTCCGCCCCTAACTCCCAGCTAATCCAAAAATGGGCAAATAGGTGGGCCGTGGGTAGAGCTGAGGCAGTTCATGCCAGTTTGTGGTAAGCATACGCTCACCCACCTGTCACTCAAAGAGGCCACGCCCTCCATTATGCTAAATTCAAAGCCTCAATAAAATGTAAACAGGTGAGATGTATAAAAATTCACCCCTGTACAGCTGTCATGAAGGAAGAAATTAGCTATAGAGACCAAAACTTTCTTTTGTACCAGGCTGTAAACATGTTTATTTAACGTACAACTGTAAAGTTGGACATTATAACATGGGAGTCTATGGGGATTGCCCCACTGGTGGAGCCAGACTCTAGTGGTCATTAGCGGAACTGCAGGTTTTGTCACTAAAATGTTGGCTTCATTTTTCCTTGAATGATTTTCGGGGTTCGATCACATTAAACTCTGAAACATAAAATCTCGACAAAATTAAAATATACTGTTTACTGTGACTGTCTTTGTTTACCATGTTTCCTAGTCTCAGTCTTGACTTGGACTTATGGTTTTATATAAAGGAAATATTGAATTTTGCTGTTTATGTTGATGTTTTCTGTGTTTGATGGAGACATTATGTAAATAAATATCTGTGGGTAGATGAATTGATGCTGGAGGAGCACAGAGAGAGGAGAGAGAGCAGAGCACTGAAACAGGGACTTCCCTGCGCCTCCATCATCTGCAGGGAGGGAAAAAACACTCACACACATACACAGCCTCCCACATACACACACACACACACACAGTGCTGAGAGCTAGCAAGGGGCTTTAAACAGCTTCATACGAAACAGAGACAAAAGGACTGTAACCTGCCACAATGGAGGAAAACATGGATGAATCGCAAAGCCAGAAAGGTAGGACGGAATAACAGTTTGTTCTATTTTATCTTTCATCAGATGAACCATTCTGCCATTGTTCTGTTCATCCTTCTGTCCTGGTGTCATGGGATTCCTTTGTGTGTGTGTTGTGTGCAGAGAGATGAAGGATAACGTACTCGTCCTGCAGAAAACAACAGCATCACATCTTAGTTTGTACATTTAATATGCACATTTTCACAACTGTTTTTTTCTCACCACTCTGTTGAGCAGAAATGCAAAGACAGGCTGGGAATTTTAACGGTGCTGTCTATACGTGTGCTTGTGATAAGACCAGGCGTTAGACTGGCCCGTTCTGTTCTGTGTTTCCATGAGTAGCTGCAGAACAAAGCAGAGTGTTTGGGGTGAGAATGAGAGGAGTTGGCAGACTCTGGAGGGTCGTTGTTGTTTTGGAGGCTGGACGGACAGATGGACAGACAGATGGATGGATGTATGGATGGATGGAGGAGGTGGGAGTGGCGGGGAGGGGGAAGGGGTGGTGGAGGGGGAGCAGATAGAAGAAGGAGGGAGCGTGGGGCAAAACCTTGAAATAAAGAGTAAGAATGAGGAGATCGAGGATAAGTGGAGCAGTGATTGATGCCTCCATTGGGATTTTCTTTGTTCGGCTCCATTGTTGATGCTTCACGCCTGTCTGAACCCCTTCTCCTCTCCTCTCCTCGCTCCCTCGCTCTATGCGTGTCACCCTTTTTTTTCTGGTATCTGTGTCGCTCTCTACCCTTTCCCTCCATTTTCTTCTTCTCTCACCGGCTCTCTCCCTTTCTGTGCTTTTCTTCAGCCTTTTTGACTCAGTTGATTTCAGACTTGATTTTCTGGGTATATCAGCATCTCTCTCTCTCTCTCTCTCTCACTGTCTCTGGCTCTGTCTCTCTTTCTCTCCTCCATCTATTTTGACTCATCTCTCACTCATCTCACTCACCTCCATCTCGCTCTGTCGGTTCCCGCCCTCTTTCCCAGCCTCTTTTTTTTTTCTTCATCCTCATTTCAAATCATACACATTTTAAATCACCTTCCTCTGTATGTTTATGTTTCTGCTTTTCGTTTTCATGTTTTTCATCTCATCCTCTCATATTGTTGTTGTAAGCGGTGAAAATGGGCGTGTCCATTTTCTTCATAGCACCTTCAGTCTGACTCAGATGTGAGCAGCGCTGCTTATACAAACCATGGTCAGGCATTTGTGATGAAAAATAAACAGTTATTTGCATTAATCGCCGTGGTAACGTTTATTAACACTGTATCTATGGTAACGCTTTTGTGGAGCTGTCTTCTGTTGTGTGATAGGCAGACTCCTGTGTTTTTTTTCTGGAAGGAACCTGTTTTAGCCAATCACAAAGCATTTTTCTCTCCAGGCTCTGAGCCCCTCTCTCCTTCTGTTCATCCATTCATCTCATTCCCACATCCCTGTGTCTCCCTCCTCCTTCATTTAATAAATAAGAAGTACAGGTGTGTGATGACATGTGGCAGGACAGGTGACAGGGACTTTATAATAAGAACATTAATGATGTTTTTCACAGCTGTAATTGTATGATCCAGAAACAGATTCTGAATGGTTGTTTGTCACAGACCTGTTTCAGGTGTTGAATCAGTTTAAATTTAGGTTTAACTGTGTAGCCTGTTGCACAAACTGTGAGTGACTGTCTGTTACTGAGCAGATGAATGATGTGCTGCTGGCCAATATCATCGATAATGAACAATTCACCTGTGCAGCATGAAACGCAGGGATTCAAATATCTACTAATTATTTTAGAGCATTCAAAGTAAGTCCCATCTAATGCCAACTTAAAATAAAAATGTATTGAATCACTTTAAATCAATTATATTATGCCACATGATTATAATAAAACTAATCCCAGCCCAAGTGGGAGGAGCTTTGAGAGCTCAGCTGTGGCTTGGATCAGTATGAAACTGTGTTAGAAAATATCTGGTTTGTTAATAACAGGTCAAAGGTCAATGGTACAAGCCTCTGAACATAAAGACTGACGAGGAGAACTTAATCACAACTCCTATGGTGCATTTCAGCAACAAACATACAGCTGGCTTCATCACAACAGAGGCCGAGGATCATGGGTGCTGTAGTGTTTATGCCAAAACGACACGACAGCAAAAGAAATCCAAGCAAAGTTGAAAGAATTAAAACCAGTGGCCATAATGTCAAATATGTAAATCTACAGTGACCCATGATTCTGTATCCACATACACTGAGGCCCCTCCCACTTCACAACTCTATAAAGGTTAAAAATCATGATCACATGACCAAGTGTTACACACCAGGTGACATGAATTAGACCAATTAAAATCCGGGTTGTGTCCCTCCCTCATTCCCTCCTCCCGACTCACTCTCCAGGGAGTTCAGTGTAGAGGACTGTACAGTGATCTCATCAGCAAAATGAAAAAAACACTTTTGGACACTACTTGGGTGATTTTCTCTGCACCGTTTTTCAGTCTTTCAGCAAGAGCGGAATGCATGATGGTATATATTGCTTGATTAGTGACGATCAGCTGTACAGTTGTAGTGGACTATAGAGGGAGTAGTGAGTGATTTCGGACATCCCTGATTTAACCCAGGGATCAGCGTCCTACCTGCTCTACCACCTGAGCCACGCCCCTTTACACCTTAACAGCCATTTACCTTGAGCCTCTCTTCATATAACACAGACCCACAGTCTGAAGAACTGGTACTCTGAAACTCCTTGAGCTGCATCATGTGAGGAATAGTGATTTCTTATGTACAGTGGTTTCAGGAAGTCTTCAGACCCCGTCACTGTACTGTGTAGTAGATTTTCATTGTAAATGCTCCATCAGTCTACTCTCACTGATACACAAACATGTTTTAGAAATGTATTCAAATTCAAGACCTGGGGCTGCTTTGATGGCTCACCTGGTAGAGAACGTGTCACATGGGCTTCGTCCTAACTGCAGTGGCCATGGGTATGAGTCCGACCCTTGGCCCTTTGCTGCATGTTATCCCCTCTCTCTCTCCATGACTTTCCTGTCTCTCTCTGACTGTACTATAACAATCAAGGCAAAATGCCCTAAAAAAATCACTTTAAAAAAGAAGTCAAAATCTGAACCTTTGATTAACTAAAGTCTTCAAATTGTGACCAGCTGCTTCCTATTTACTTCAATTATCACTGAGATGAGTCTAGACCTGGACTTAAGTCCACCTGTGGTGAACTGAGCTGATTGGACAGAGTTCAGAAAGACACACACCTGTGTGTATCAGGTCCCACAGTTCACCTGCAGGTCAGGACAGAGACCATAAAGTCCAGTGAAGTCTCTGTAGACCTCTGTGATCAAACTGTGGTGAGACAGAGGTCAGGACAGAAAGGTGTAAGTGTTCTCAGGAGAACTGTGGGAACAAGAACTGGAAGCAGGACTCTTCTAGAGCTGGTGCTCAGACAAACCGAGGGAGCAGGTCAGAGGGACCTGGGTCAGGGAGGAGCTTCAGAAGTCCCTGCAGAGATGGAGAAGCTGCTGGAAAGACGAGCATCAATCAGGTTATTATGGTACAGAGACGAGACAGAGACACTGAGAGTCAAAGACATATGAAGCTGCTGCAGTCTGACCTGCAAACCTTAAAGACTCTGAGACCAGGAGGAACCAGACTCCCTGGACTCCAAACACCAGGTCCTGCTCAGCACCTGGACAACACCATCCCTACAGTGAAGCATGGGGGACAGCATCATGCTGTGGGGGCTTCTCAGCAGCAGGGACAGGGAGACTGGTCAGACCTGATGATGGTTGAATGAGACAAATGCAGAGAGGTCCTTGAAGAAAACCTGATCCAGAGTCCAGGAGACCTGAGACTGGAGTGACGGTTCACCTCTCAGCTCCAGAGTGACCTGAAGCAAACAGCCAAGACAACACTGGAGAGTCTTCAGGACCAGTCTCTGACTGTCCCTGAGTGTCCCAGCCAAAGTCCAGACCTGAACCCCATAGACCATCTGTGGAGAGACCTGAAGAGAACTGTTCAGACACTTCCTGTCCAGTCTGAGTCTGAGTCAGGAAGACTGAGATAAACTGACCAGATCCAGGTTCAGAGCCTGTAGAAACTCAAGACTGAAGCTGGAACTGCTGCTGAAGGGGGTCCTACAAAGAATTGGACTAAAGGTCTGAAGAGTTTTATCAATGGTAGATTGAAGTTTTTGATTTTTGAAACATTTCCAAAAAAATTTAAAAACATGTTGTCACTCTGTCATGATGGGTCATTGAGAGAAGACTGATGGATAATTTCAAATGAAATCTACAACAAAACAAAGAATGTTCAAATTGTAAATCATCAGTGAACCCATGATTCTGTAATCACATACATGAGGCCCCTCCACTTCAACAACTCTATAAAGGTTAAAAATCATGACTCACATGACCAAGTGTTACACACCAGGTGACATGAATTAGACCAATTAAAATCCGGGTTGTGTCCTCCCTCATTCCCTCCTCCCTACTCATCTCCAGGGAGTTCAGTGTAGAGGACTGTACAGTGATCTCATCAGCAAAATGAAAAAAACACTTTGGACACTACTTGGGTGATTTTCTCTGCACCGTTTTTCAGTTTTCAGCAAGAGCGGAATGCATGATGGTATATATTGCTTGATTAGTGACGATCAGCTGTACAGTTTGTAGTGGACTATAGAGGGAGTAGTGAGTGATTTCGGACATCCCTGATTTAACCCAGGGATCAGTGTCCTACCTGCTCTACACTGAGCCACGCCCCTTTACACCTTAACAGCCATTTACACTTGAGCCTCTCTTCATATAACCAGACCCACAGTCTGAAGAATGGTACTCTGAAACTCCTTGAGCTGCCATCATGTGAGGAATAGTGATTTCTTATGTACAGTGGTTTCAGGAAGTCTTCAGACCCCGTCACTGTACTGTGTAGTAGATTTTCATTGTAAATGCTCCATCATGTCTACTCTCACTGATACACAAACATGTTTTAGAAATGTATTCAAATTCAAGACCTGGGCTGCTTTTGATGG